ATGAATTGATTAAGTGGGGTTTATAAGTAGAAGAGACGGTGTATCAGGATGAAATGAAAGTTGATTAAATGCGTTTTTTGTGTAGAAGCAGATATGCGGTATATGAATAATGACATTGATAATGGGTTTTCCCTGTGGCAGAAGAGACGGTCGTATAACATGACTGAATTGATTAAAGTAAAGGGCCATTTCGTGTATCACAAGATGGTGTAACTAGGAATGAATGAACTCGATTAAGTGGCAGTTGCTCGTGTACAAGTCGAGATGCGTGAATGAAGAATGAATGAATTAAAATAGCGGTTTCTAACGCTAGTCCAGATATGGTGTATAAGTGAAGAATTGATTAACATGGGGTTTTCTAAGTAGAAGAGATGGGTATAATTGAGAAATTAATTAAAATCGAGGTTTCTAAGTCCTAATGAGATGGTGACTAAATTACAATGAAATTGATTAAGTCTGGGTTTCTGTGTAGAAGAGATGGTGTATAAGTGGATGAATTGATCAAGTGTTTTTTGTGTGTGTTGAAAAGATTGTGTATAAATTAATGACTTGTTTAGTAAAGGGATTTCTGTGGAGAAGAGATGGTGTATAAATGAATGAATTGATTAAATGGGGTTTCTAAAGTAGAAGAGATGGTGTATAAATGAATGAATTGATTAAGTGGGGCTTCTGTGTAGAAGAGATGGTGTATAAATAAATGAATTGATTAAGTAAAAGGATTTCTGTGTCAAAAAGATGGTGTAAAAATGAATGAATTGATTAAATGGAGTTTCTGTGGAGAAGAGATAGTGTATAAGTGGATGAATTGATTAAATGGGGCCTCTAAGTAGAAGAGATGGTGACTAAATGAGTGAATTGATTAAGTCTGGTTTCTGTGTAGAAGAGATGGTGCCCAAATGAATGAAATTAATTAAGTAAAGGGATTCATGCGTGCTCTATAGTGTTTGCTAATACTTGAGAGGGTCATTTGGGTCCGTCTGTTCATGTATTTGTTCATTTTGTGGCGATGGGTTTAGGTGGATGTTATGCCGTTCATCTGTTTTGATATAACAATTAGTAACATTGATAGTACTGGCATGGGTGGTATTAAGGTAATAGCATCTTCATAACTATCATTTTCATCATTACCATTAT